ATTTTGAGACAGGCCTTGACCTCACAGTGATCCTCCTGCCTCAGCCTCCAGAATGGTGGCATTACAAGCATATGCCACCACACCCAGCAAGCACCCAAATCCCAAATCACTAATTTTGGAAGCCACAGCAAAGGTTATCTCCTTCTGTCCTGGGGTGGGTGGGTGGGTCCTCTTTCTCCCCAGGAGGAGGGGAAAAGCAGCCTTTTGCTATTTTTTCCCTGGACAAAGATGCCTTTTGCATCCCAATCACCAGCAACATTAACTACTCCAGGAAGAGGAACTAAGGACAGTGAGGGCTTTCTAATCAGTGACTTTTCTCTGGCTTTACAGAAGCCACAACACCCAGGAATCTACAGACGAAACAGAAAATCAGGTCACTGAAGGTTTCTTGAGCCTGGGCCTGGCTGGTCTTGAGCTCACTATGCAGGACCCTCCTGCCTCAGCCTTGAGTGCTGGGATTACAGGGTAGCACCACAACCCCTGGCAACCTCCTCAAATTTATCACTGCTCTGGTGGCCCCCTGCCAAAGGCCTTCGCCTGTAACCCTGCAGCAAAATGGCCTAACTAGTGACACCTCCACCTTCTTTGCTAGCTTTCCAACTAAATCTCCCTCCCCAACTTGTTCTTGGGTCACAAACAATGAGCTTGGGTCCACAGCATATGCCTAGGAGCCCCACACATTTTCCAAAACTGAACAGGCAAGGGTGGTGAGTACTGTAGCTGTTAAGGGTAAAAAAATTAGAAACCAGGCTGGGTGTAATGATGCACATTTGTAATCCCATTACTGGGGAGGCTGAGGCAGGAGGATCATTTCGAGTTCTCGACCAGCCTGTACTATAGTGAGACCTTGTCTCAAAAATAACAACAAGGGGCCGGGGATTTAGCTCAGTGGTTTCGTCGCCTGCTGTGCAAGGACCTGAGTTTGATCCCCAGCACCAAACAACAACAACAACAACAGAAACTAGAAGGCATCTAAATGTTCATCAACAGAAAAAAGTGTATCCACACACACACACAAAATGCTCAAAAAACTATTAAAAAATAATTTAGAGGGGCTGGGGATTTAGCTCAGTGGTTCTGGTGCCTGCCTCCCGAGTGCAAGGTCCCAAGTTCGATCCCCGGTACCAAAAAAAAAAATTTAGAGTTATGTCCCTATAGGGATGTTCATGATAGAAAATACCCAGAAGCATACATAAAAACCAATGTAGGGGCCGGGGATGTAGCTCAGTGGTTCCACCACCTGCCTTGCAAGCTCAAGGTCCCGAGTTCGATCCCCGGTACCAAACACAAACAAATGTAATTAGGTAATGCAAGAAATTAGAATTAGATATACTGTACTTGACAATTGAGAGGATATACACTGTTTTTGAGTCCAAGCGAAACCTTTACTTATTTTATCATAACATATACATATGTATGTATGTATATACATATATATATTCTGAATGGTGCTGAGTATTGAACCCAGGGCCTCCGAAATACGATCAGCCTGGAATTCTGACAAGCACAAAACTTCTTTAGGCTATAATAGATCGGGGTTAAAAGGAAATAAGTCAAAGGTATAAGCCAAACTTAAAGCCATGAGAAATTAAAAGGAAAAGAGAAAATTAACAAATGAGTTAAACATCAAACTTTATAAAGCTGGAAACCAACACATCAAAGCAAAAGACAAAGTTCCTAAGAAAAGCCTAGGCAAAGGACAATCTCTCAGGGCAAAAAACAAAACTATAGGCCAATAACCAGTCTACCATTCCAGGTAAAAACACAAGAGTGGAGTCCCTCCACACCCACAAGATGGGTGCTGAGACCTCCACGTCCCCCCACCATCATGCCCCCTTTCCCCCTCCGATGGGCCCCTGGACACTTACTGGGCCCATGAAGAAAGCATTACAAAAACCCCTCAACACGCAGGAGACAAATGAAAAATCACCATCCCAGCCTGCGACTTAGCTCAGTGGCACCGCACCTGCCTCGAAAGCACAAGGTCCTGAGTTTAATCCCTGGTACCAATAAACAAACAAACAAATAAATAAATAATTAAAAAAATAAATTAACCAGTCCCTCTCAAACTCTTCCAAGAATAGAACTCTTCTCAACTCATTAAAAAAAAAAAAAAAATCACCATTCCTCCCAAGAGCTAGAAAAACCTAAGTCAAGTAGGAAAAGACAACAGACGCCAACGCTGGGAACAGAAGTTGCAATAACCTGACAAGGATCTTCAAGTTGCCATCTTAAAAAGGCTTCGAAGGCAATCACCAATACACTTGAAACAAAGGAGACCAGCAAAGAACAGAGCAGAAACAGCAGGTCTCAGCAGAGCAAGAGCTACAGCTTGGAAGGAAGGCTGTTCGGCTGGGTGAGAGCCATCACCCTCCGGCGCACGCACCTCCCGCGTCTTCTGCGGACTGGCTCCCACGGTGCTCCTCCTGCGCTTCGCGCTGCCCCGAGGGGAGTCCTCCGGCCACCGCTCAGGTCTCTTCAGCACAGGCCGCATGCTGGGGCTACACGGGGAAGGGGAGTCGGCGAGCTTGCCTGGATTGCCCTAAGGAGAAAAAAACAGCGCCATCTTTTATTAAAATCTGCTCACCTGCAAGGCCAGGAGACTGAGGGCTCCCAAGACAGCTTCAAGGAAATTCAGAAACCCGGAGAGGACCCACAGCTCCCTCGGGCTGGAAGCTCTCTGGCCCTCCGGGCACTGAGCCCGTGAGATGGAGACCAGTAAAACATCCCTTCCCCTCAAAAGCTTCCTGTCTACAGGGTCCTAAGCCGCAAGGAAGTGGCTGTCACAAGCCAGGCAGAGACACACAGTTTTGGTTGTTCCCTGCACTTTGCTGGAGCAGCTTGGCAGGTTGTAAACCCCCCAAAATCCAGAGCTGATGGAAGGCAGTAGGACTGCACTCTAAGCAGACACCACTGGCACAGTGGCCCAAAACACCATCTCTAAGCGCAGGGGCGGGGCGGAGTGGCAGTGCCCTCCTTTTCTCCAAGGAGTCTTCTTTACTTTTTACCACTGAACCACACCCACAGCCCTGAGGGTCTCTGCTCTGTTTCTTTTTTTTCTTTTTGGTACTGGGGATTGAACTCTGGGTCCTTGTGCTCGCACAGCAGGCAGCGAAACCACTGAGCTAAATCCCCGGCCCGCTTCTTTACTTTTTGCGGCACTGGCAACGAAACCCAGGGCCTTCGAATTGAGTTACACCTCATCTTTTCTTCACTCTGAGACATGGTCTCACTAAGTTGCTAAGAGGCTGGGCTGGCTCCAACTTGCAATGGTGCCTCAGCCTCCCCAGGCCGTAAGATATGCTGGGGGATTCAATTCCCAGCACCACAAAAACAGAACACAGTGAACCTAGTATCTCAGTCTGAGGGAGCCAGTCTGAGCAGGGGAAGAGCCCGCCTAACCTTGCTTCCCCACAGACTGCACAGCTCGGCTCAGTGCTCCCCAGCCTGACTCCCTCTTCCTCCGGGTGAACCGCCTTCAACACCTCCTGTTCCAGGTCTCAGTGTGGGCCACTCCCCCTTCTGCACTGCTGGGGAGCAGGGATTCTCTACCTCTTCCTTTTCAGAAGCTTATTTCCTAGTGCACTACCAGCAACGCCGAGTCTGTCATGGCCATACTTGCTGCTGTCGGGACAAGAGCCTTGCCATGTAGCCCGGGCTGCCCCCGCCGGGATCACAGGAGTGCCCCCAGTGCCTGGCTCTGCGGTGAGAACTTGTGAAAGGAATTCCTCGATGTAACAGTCCACAGGACTCTGTTCATGATTTCTCTTTTGAGACAAGCTCTCACTAGGTAGCCCTGGTTGACCTCACACTCATGATCTTCCTGCCTCGGGCTCCCGGTACTGGGATTATCTGTTCAAGGTTTTTAAATCCAATTTATAAAACAGTCACCAGGGCTGGGGATTTAGCTCAGTGGTTTCACCACCTGCTGCGAAAGTGCAAGGACCCGAGTTTGATCCCCAGTACCAAAAAAAAAAAAAAGGTCACCACTCAAGCATTCTCCTGTTGTATATAATTTTAGATCCAATGTTTGTACTGGCTCAACCTATTTTCTCAAAAACTATACACATTAATCAACTATAATCCATACACCAAAGCTGTAGTTCATTTGCTCCATATTTACAATTTAGGTTATTAGCTATCAGAAGCTGGGCATGGGGGTGCACATCTGTAACCCCAGTGGCTTGGGAGGCTGAGGCAGGAGGACTGCTCTGAGTTCAAGGGCAGCCTGGGCTACACAGTGAGTTAGTCTAAGGTCAGCCTGAACTGCATAGTGAAGCCCTGTCTCAACTCACCCCCGAAAAAGCTATCAATTTGAATTTGTACGCATACCGAAGAGGATGTAGCTCTGAATGTGTACTGCGACAACACCTCAGCTAAGACTCCATTCCCTAGGTGTCTGAATACAGGAGACTGTACTCCCAGGATGGCAGTGGGAGTCTATAGCATATACACAAAGGAGAAGGATTTTCAATTAAAAAGATAAACATCCTGTGAGTTACTGTAACTTGGCAAGTGTGCTGTGGCACACAAGTGACCATGATCTAAGAAAAGCTAGCCGACTTCAGGCTTGAAGGCTTCAGATTTTTTTTCCAAACTGCCTATATGTCATGAGCTAGAAGCAGCCTGTCACCCCGAATCCACGTTCCAGCTTCAGACTGGGAAAGGCTCAGAAGAGAGGTGTCCTGCAAAGTCAGTTTGGTGCCCTGGGCCTGCCACTGCATCACCCTCAGGCTACACTCGGCCAACACTGCACGAGGGGAACTTACAAGATTTGTCACTCTTCTGGTGACTAGGGGAGCAGTCCAGAGGCTGGCCATGCACGACGGGGTCTCGTCATTCTGCAAAGCAGGAAAACCAGCTTTAGAGATCCAGTAGCAACAGCTTCAAAGGACCCAGTGGCAAAGTCTCCCGGCTCCTACTCCTCACAGCTCACAGCAGATGACAGCCAGAGGCGACACAGCAGACAGCCCCCATGGGGATTGGGAGGTCTCAGGCCTTCAGCTTCCTGCCACTTGACCCCTGGCTCTGCACTGTCCTTACTTAGGGTCAACTCCTTCACGATGAGGAGCAGCTCATCAGGGTCCCCTCTGGCTCTCCCAACCCACCAGGCTGGGAGCAGCCTCTCACATCCGCACCAGTGGACGTCTGCAGGGGTGGCTGGCATGGTAGGAATGGAACACACACACGCGCGCGCACACACACAGTACCTTCAGATTCTCTCCATCAAGAAGGTCCATGAAGCCATCATCCTCATCAGATAAAGTGGCTGTCACAGGTGACTGGGGCATAAAAAGAGGAACCAAATTCCCTGGCTCACTGCTTTCTCTTTCATTTGAGGAAAGCTAAAAGACAATTTAAAAAAAGATAGCTGCTCAGTTTTTTTGTTTTGTTTTGTTTTTGGTTACTGGGGATCGAACGTGGGTCCTTGGACTTGTGCAGCAGGCAGCGAAACCACTGAGCTAAATCCCCGGCCCGAGCTGCTCAGTTTTTAACTGAATTACCACATAACTGTAGTTATGCCTTAAAGTGTTCAGGGTAGTTCATCTTTTTTTGTGGTACTGGGGATGGAACCTAGGGCCTTTGCACTGAGCTGTATTTATATCCCCAGGCCTTTACTTTTTATTTTGAGAGTCTAAGTTGCCCAAGGTGGGCTTGAACTTGGCAATCCTCCTGCCTCAGCCTCCCACAGTACTGGAATTACAGGTGTGCACTACCATATTCTCTTTCTTTTTTTCCCAGACAGGGTCTTATTAATATAGCCCAGGCTATGGGCCAGGGATTTAGCTCAGTGGTTCTGCCGCCTGCCTCGCAAGCACAAGGTCCCAAGTTCCATCCCTGGTACCAAAAAAAAAAAAGAAAAGAAAAGAAAAATATAGCCCAGGCTAGCCTCATATTCACTGTCTAACCCAGGCTAATCTCAAATTCACAATCCTGCCTCAGCCTCTCAAGTGGTGGAATTACTGGCGTGCACCACTGAGCCTGGTTTAATCCTTTACTTTTTCCTTTGTTTTTTTCAGACAGGGTCTCACTCTGTAATTCTGGCTGGCCTTGAACACTGGGGGATCCTCCTGCCTCGGCCTCCAGAGTACTGGGTTACAGTGTGTGACACCACACCCAGCTTTTTTTTGGTTTGGTTTTCTTTTTTAGATGGAGAATCATATTGCCCCAGCTGGCCTCAAACTCCTGGACTTACCCACCCTTCTACAGCAGGCCCCTTGTGGCTATGACTATAGGGAAGAACCACTGTGCCTAGTGAGTCCTTTTCTTTTAGGAAACTGATGCTTATGAGGTGACCAAGATCACACACCTAACCTGTTTGACTCCAGAGCCCAAGCTCCTCTCCACATTATACCAGCTCCCTAGGAGAGAGGACCATTCCTGGAATAAAATGTAAAACCTATGTCTTTTGTCTTGGTAACAAAAAACAAACAAACAAACAAAAATATAAAGTCTAAAAAACATATTTCCTTTTTCAGTACTGGGGATGGAATTCAGGACCTTGAGCTTGCAAGGCAGGCATGGTGTCACTGAGCTAAATCCCTGGCCCTCCTTTTTCTTTTTTTCTGAGACAGGGTCTCACTATGCAGCTCAAGCTGGGCTTGAACTCATGGTGATCCTCTTGCCTCAGCCTCCTAAGGGCTGGGATCACAGGCATGCGCCACCACACATGGCTAAAGTCTAAAAAATGTAGGGAAAAAAATACTTATAAATCTGTATCTAAACACTGCTAAAACTGAATTACTTATTTTCCAGAAGGTTTTTAAAGCTGGAGGAAAAAGTTTACTGATACATGTATTTTTTTTTACAGTGACAAGGCAATCCCTATGCTAAGTCCTAAAACCAACCCTTAAATCCCTGTCGCTTTGGGCAACAAAGGCCAGTCCTTTACTGGCCTCCAGCTTTCTGGACGGTGCCCTCACTGAGCCCCTGCCCATGCCCAGCCCACTCTGGCAGACCTTAGCTTTGCCTCAGACTCTACAATGCTCCCTGGATTGTATCTGCTTCCCCTAGGCACATCCTGGGCAAACTGGCAGATTAGGGGACTGTACCACAGGGTGGCGGCTTCTGTGTAGATAGAGAAAAACAGCCAAGTCTTCCTATACCAAGTAGCCATTATGAGAAAACATCACAGCCTGGGGTCTAAAAGCAAGGACACAAAAATACCCTCCAACACGACCAAACCATGAGATTAACTTTCTGATAGTGTTTTAATGTCTCAGTGCCTCCAATGAGGTGGCCAAGTGATCAGAGGAATTCCAGGGCTCTGGTCTCCAGGGACACTAAAGACACCCAGCTCTCAATGTTGTCACCCTGTCCTTGGGAATCTAGACATGGTTTGCTAAGTGCTGTTCTCTTTACATGCCTCTGGCAAATCAACCTCTCTAATGGTTGTTTTTTCATCTGCCAAATAAGGTAATAACTCCAGCTACTTCTCAGGCTTATGAAGACTCAAAGACAAATGCTAGACAAAGCCAAAATGCTGCCTAAACCTGAACCTCAATCCACAAGCCAGACCGGAACTGTGTATTTTCATATGCAAGTTCCCAGAAAAACCTAGAAACCAAATGTGGTCATTTTGGTCAAGTCGGCCCTCCCCAGTGTAAACAACATGCTGACAGCTGACCCAGTGCAGACCAACAGCAGGAAACTGGACGCAGGAACAATCTGCTAAGTCAGTCCCCCACTTCTCCGCCCCAGTACTGGGGTTGAGCTCAGGGTCTTTACACTGAACCACATCCTCAACCCTTTTTAAACCACTTTTTTGAGAGAGGATCTCATTAAGTTGCTAAGTTGCCCGGGCTAGACTTACATCTGCACTCTTCCTGCCTCAGTCTCCCAGAGTGCCTGGATGACAGGGGTGAGACATCAGCTCTTAATAAAACACCTGTAAAGAAGCTAAGTGCACTCCAAATAAAATCACCCTTGGGAGAAACCTCAGCACTGCAGATGCACTGTAAAGAACACGTTTTAATCAGGAGACATACCCCTAAGTACACACATTTGAAGTCACCCAGGGTGCTGCAGATTATTCTCCCAGAACTGACAAAGTCAAATACTTCTGCATGATCCACTATCACAACACATCCCACTTCCACCACTTCCACTTCCGCCTGTCTGGACAGTAGACAGGGCAAAAATAGCAAGAATGTTTTGACAGTCTCTTCTCCAGACATAAAGTCAAGATAAGACAAGTGAGTACTACTATATTGTCTTCAACCTGGGGCCAAAACGGTGCTTTCTGCTTTGCCAGCCATGGTGGCTCACGCCTATAATCCCAGTACTTGTGAGGCTGAGGCAGGAGGATCGCTGCAAGTTGGAGGCTGGCCTAGGCCACATACTGAGACCCTATCTAAAAAAAAAAGGAGCGGGGTGCTTTTTAGTTCTCTGTCCCCGAGGAGCTCCCCTGCGAAAGCCAGCGCACGTACCATCCGAGCTGGGGCAGAGTTCTGCCTCTGTGTGAAGAGCTCCTTACCCTCCTCACGGCCATGGGTGTGCAGGTAGCCACGGGACGCGGGTCTGACTGGCTTCTTAAACTCAAAGGCCTCCTGCAAGACAGTGCAGTTGAGATAGCTACTGTTCACGAAGACCAGCTTGAGGGTCTTGGCTCTAACTTGGGAAGACAGGCAAGGGCACTGAGCACCTGTCACCACCAGGGCAAGCGGCTCCTTTCTGATCGAAGTCCAACACTACCGTCAGCGGTCAGCCGCAGAGCTCTAAGGCAGCACGGATGAAGCTCAGGTTACAGCCCTTGCCCAGCACACAGGAGGCCCGGAGGCCCAGCTTTCCATCCCTGGTCCCACAATGACAATTGAAATAAAAACCAAGCAGAGTCTTTTTCACGATGCTGTATTTACAGCATCTGCCAAGTATACAAGATACTACAGATGATAAAGCAAATCACAAACTTCCTAAAACCCAACACACAATGTCATGTCAGTACAACTATCTGTGAGCAGTCAAAAACTTTTAATCTAGATTTATAGCTGTTTGAAGGCAGCATATTTCCTACTTCTTCCTATTAGTAGAAGACAAGTTTTTCCAATCAAAATGGTTACTGTGGGGCCGGGGATTTAGCTCAGCGGTTTCATCGCCTGCTGTGCAAATGCAAGGACCAGAGTTCGATCCCCGGTACCAAAAAAAAAAAAAAATTGTTACTGTGCCAAGTATGTTAGTGCACACCTGTAACCCCAGGACTCTGGGAGGCTGAGGCAGGAGGATGTGAAGTGTGAGCCCAGACTAGGCAACAACTAGCAACTTGGTAAACCGTCCAAAAATAAACAATAAAAAGGGCTGGGGATGTAGGTCAGTGTGAGGACTCTCAGTTCAATCCCTAGTACTGGAACAACAACAACAAAAAGCCCACAGATTTACTATACTCATTACAGATGATTCTCTCAATGCTGAGTGAAAGCCACGTGACAGAATACATATGATTCCATTTCCAGATCAAAAGCATTCATGTCCCTGTTATCCTAAAATAACCACTTAAGAATTTGATCCAAAATGAACCAACAGCTAATCGCTAAGTGCCAACACTCCACTAAGTACTTTTTTGTGTATTAACTCACTTAACCACCGAACACAGCCCGACTGACCCCCGTTACATTAGAAATACGCCTTCTGGGCTACGTGGTGGGCCCAGGAGACAGGACCACTGCAGAGGACTCTTTCTGGCCGCTGTGCTGTTCTCCATCTGGAACACAGTGCGGGTAGGCAAGGCTGGGGGAGGCTGTGCTCCCGGGAGCACAGCCTTGGCCTGGTTCTAGAGCCACCCAGAGAACATGCACCCAGGCCAGGAGCCATTTCCATTCTCTCCTCCACCATGGCCTAAGGTGCCACACAAAACAGTCAGGAGAATCCACGGAGGCAGATGGCTTTACACTCAATCCAGAAGATTGCAAGGATAGTGAACAGCAGCATTTTAACAGGGAAGGGAAAGGAAAAAAAATCAACCTATGTGCTGGGCATGGTAGCACACACCTGTAACCCCAGCACTCTGGGAAGCCAAAGCAGGAGGGTTTGCAAGTTCTAGCCCAGCCTGGCCAACTTAGCAAGACCTTGTCTCAAAATGTTAAAGAAAGGTAGAGCAGGGATGTAGCTCAGTGCAAATATCCTGAATTCAATTCCCAGTACTGTAACACACCCTCCAAAAAATCCCAGAACTCCGGGAGGCTGAGACAGGAGGATGTGTTAATTCCAACCTCATGTGGGCAGCTTACTGAGACCCTATCTCAAATTAAAACTTTAAAAAGGCTGGGAATGTGGCCAAGCGTGAAGGTCCTGGAGTCAACCCCCAGCACCAAAAACTAAAATAAGAAAGGAAGCAGGCAGGGCCGCCTCTTGCAGACAGATCTCCACAGGCATCCTCTGCCCCGGGTTGGCATACACAACACTCACGTTTTCCTTGTTTTCATCCTGGTCAATGAGCTGCAAGAGGTCATGGTCGAGAGAATCAGAATGGCTTCTTTTCAGAGCTGGGCTACATCCCAAGAGCTTCTGCTAAAGGGAAAGGAGAGGGCACGTAAGGAAAAAAAAAAAGGAAGACTCGGTACCTACTGGCAGGGCGGGGCAGCTGCTCCCTACAAGGAGCAAGAGCTGTAGCAGGGCAGGAAGTGCACCCCATCTCCTAAGGCCCATGCCCTCTCAGCAGCTGATGACAGCTGCCACATCCATCCCCAAGTGACATTTGTACAAAAATTCTTCCTGGTTGGTAACACTGACAGAGACAGAGAACAAAGTCCTTAAGAGGAAGTCATTATTCCTATTCCATTGCTCCAGGCAGTGTCCCAAGTGCTTCTAAGACTGCAAAAGAGCAGCTTTCCCTTCCTAATTTGAGGTCTCCTATCAAGGTCAAGCAGGCAGCTAAGGCAGCAAACGACAGGTAAGAGTTCAAAATAACCAAGAACTAACTTACAGGTAGGGAATGTATTCTCCTCAGGGGATTCCCAAGGCTGGAATAAGACCAGAAGGTAAAAAATTAGAATAAAGCATCCCAAGAGGCATTCATGCTAGCAGATGCATAGTTTAGTCTGACTTTGGGGGCCAAACAGAGTCCCATTTTAAGCCAAGAAATGAAAGAATTGATTTCCTGAAGCTGTCCCGTTCTCAACAGCATCCCAAACACTATGCTCTAGGCAAAAAGCAAACCCGGAGCTGGGTACGTTGGCAAACACGTGTGATCCCAGCACTGAGAGACTGAGCGGGAGACTGGAGGTTCAGCCCAGCCTGGGGAATTTAGAGACCCTATTGTAACATTGGGGGGAAAGGGCCAGGGATTTAGCTCAGTGGTTCCACTGCCTGCCTCACAAGCACAAGGACCAGAGTTCGATCCCCGGTACCAAAAAGAAATAAAAATAAAAATTAAAAATTGGGGGGAAAAAAGGGTCGGCATTGCGGCACACATCTGTAATCCCTGCTTGGATCACAGTTCAGGGCCTGAACTACATAGTGAAATCTTGGTGGGTTTTTTTGGTACTGGGGATCGAACTTGGGTCCTTGGGCTTGCGAGGCAGGTGGTGGAACCACTGAGATAAATCCCTGGCCCAGTGAGATCTTATCTTAAAAATAAAACAATAAAATTGTTAAAAAGGGCTGAGAATATAGCTCAGTGTGAAGGCTGAATTCAATCCCCAGCCCCAAGAAAAACAAAACAAACACTTAGTGACCTAATACAATAATAATAATAATAATCTCTTGAGCCCAACCTAGGCAACTTAGCAATTTAATGAGACCCTGTCTCGAAACAAACAAACAAAAAAAGCAAGAAAACTTGGGGTCTTTTTTTCCTCCCTTTGGTACCAGGGATAGAACTCAGGACCTTTCGCTCTCAAGGCAGGCGCACTGCCTCTGAGCTAAATATGGGG